CGCTTGATAACAACTTAGGAAATAAAAGGTAGAAACTCGCAATAAAAAAAGCAAGCTTTCATTAGAAAAAAGCATTCCTATCTATTTGATAATCACTTTATCAAGCTTTAAATCAATTACAAGCAAGCTCTTTTCGAAGTGTCATGCTTAAACAGAAGAGCCGATAAACATCGGAGCCTTAAAGCTTTGGCCCCTAGATATTATATTTTCGAGAAATATACTTATCGTAAGATGACTCGAGATGGATGATATTGTGAAATGCTGCAGTAACAGGTCACTATCTGAAGTGTGGACATTAATTCCTTTGTAAATAACCCATGCCCATATCATTAAGCGACCCATTTGTCCGTATAAAAGTCGTATGCATCAGAGGGAAGCGATCAAGAGATAATGCTGCGTTTACCGGGCAGTCCGTATCTATGACATCTTGCCTTTAAGATGCATCCTATATACTACGCTAGTGGACACGGGCAGAGAATCCTGACTGATATCTATCTCTGTGGTCTGTGATGTTGCTATTCTCCTTGCTTCGGTCCCTAAGGGGATTTCATACCGCTAGCTGATGACGTAGACGGCGAAGTCAAAGACAGACGAAATGTCAATCACTTGTTATACACAGGTAAGTTGTATTGTGAAGATGTGGGAAGCACTGGGGAATATAATGACCTCGAGGGTCTATATTACCTTGTGTCATTCCTACACGTTGGGGCCGTAATATACAGGAATAAAGACACAACTAAGGCTTAAACCATGCATTTTAACGCTTAAATGCATCTTAACCTTCTGTAAAAAAAATAGAGTTGTTCTATATTTGTACTTATGTTCCACGGCATGACCCAAATGAAAATGTAAACATTGGGACGAAACTAGCCAACTCGAAAATTTTTACATTTCTTGCAGCTGAAAGAAGCAGGGCATGATGAAAATTAAAACACAGAATAAAGCGAGTTTCTCCCTGATAAATGTGGATATGATGACACGATAAATACTTTATTTGTCTATGTTTTGTCAGTGCAGGGTAGCGTGCTAACCATGAATTCATTTCAAGTCCCTGGCGATGAAATTGGCTACATTGGGACGCTAACCACAAGATCTTATCACAATGATGGACAAAATAAGAGAGCAAAAAGAATAAAAGACGAAAGAATAGATAATTTAGAAGACAAAAGACAGAAGAAAGGGGGATGCGGTAACTCATGGGACTGTTTCGCGCTTTTCTACCGCTGCACATCAACGCTCAAGCTACAATTTTAAGGCGCGAAACAAAAAGATTCTGCTGCTTTTCCTGTCTTCTTTTCTCTAGCAAATGGATCATTATTTGAATAAATTACCATTTTTTTTAATATTTCAGCTTCTAACCGCTCAAGTGTTTTATTTAGAATATTTGAGTCATTTATCCTACCCTGGGATTCCTTACAATAATGTAAACATTTCGATAAGCCTTGTGTGGTCATGGAAATGGAGAAAAATCTGTTATTTTGTCTCTCTCTGTCTGTAAAATATATTTAAAAAATGTTATCAGAATAATTTTCAAACCAATGTTTCAATTGTATTTCCCCCGAATTATCTTCCAATTACTTTTTCATGCTTGGAATGATTGGTAAAATTTATTGTAGTTCTACATTTCAACTCAACATGATAAGGTACGAAATATATGAAGAAGAGGACATATGATTTAGACCAATAGAGGCAATTTTACGGATTGATCATTGCTGAGGCTGGTTTTACTTCACATAAAGCATTATTTGCAATCATTCATACATTTCCAGAAATAAACATACCCCACGCATGCCACACGTCACATGATGAACAGACATACGTGTACATTCGTTCTCATTCAACACGATAAATCACCAACATGAGGCAAGTTCACATTTGTATGTACAGTATCTGTTTCTTGTGGATGCATATGAATGTTCCCACCATCACTTTTCAAAATAATTGTCACCATTTTGTTAGGTCCTTCCCGCCAAGTGTCTTGAGAAGCAAGGAACAGAACATTTAGCATTATCAAAGCCAAAAGGATAAACCAACAAATGTTTAAAATTAAGATGAAATGCCCTTACTGTATACGGACAATTGTATATATACAGGGCCGCTAAATGATTAATGAATGTTAGCTACACATATCGATTTAGTATTGATATAATTTGGATAAATACTTGTTCTGAATTCCTTCTAAAAAACAGCTCTACTCTCCGATTATATGAATTTTAACTCTCTAATTTGTTCTATAAAAAATGTTGATCACATATTTCTGATAATTACATGATCATCATCATGTTCACGATGCTTGTGTTTTGATAGACACTTTTTTGGTCAATTAAGACATATGTGAACTTCCCCCATCCATCACGTCAGACACATCTTTGATAAGGCACGTGTACTGAATGCCGAGTATGTTTCCTGATGAGCTGTAAGTTTTTGCTCGGCTTGCAGACTGGCGAACGGAAAATTGTCAATTTTCTCGTCATGTATCATGTAAGAAGAAATTCTCATAAAAACAATTTGCTCTTTTAAAAAAATGATGAGGACTCTGTTTCATAAAAATATTGCAATTACAAAACAATACAACACACTTACCCCTACCACACACACACACCCCTCACAATAATCATACAGTTGTATATTAATTATCAATGTCATATGTGTTAAAACACATTTGATAGAACACTTTCTGTTTGTCGGACAGCATCTCCTAAAAAAGAGGAGTAACATCAGAGATTTACTTTTCCAACTGTTTCCCAATCTCAGTTTCATGCTTTCACACACAATCAGCACGATAGATGTAAAAGGAACAACGGGTCACCGTTTATACAAGGGTTAGTGGGAAGTTGGTTCCTTTAAAATAATTCCGACTGCTGTTCAGATGTCATTAATAGCTGTAAGCCTATCTGTTTTACAAAGTGAATGATAACAAACTAAGAGCCATCTTTTTCTATATTTAGCGCCTGACTGATTCAAATAACGTTCAATAAATTTTAAAAAAGGGACAACCCCAAATGAAATACAAATCGCATCGAATTGCTCAATGAAACTGGCGCCAATATTGCCAAAGTGTCAAATTTCTGCAAAGCTCATGTGAGAAAATTGGCAACAGAATGCAGAACCTGACTAAAAACTAGCTTGTCACTAAATCTTAATGACCAACAGGAAAGCGTCGACAAATTTTGTACATCATACTGTCAGGCTGTTATGAGGTTTTGTCAGATTCGCGGGCACGAACAAAAAAGTATGACGTCATATTGGCCTCTGTACATATCACAGTTTGAATCAAAGAGCTCCTACTGACTTACGTAGCTGGTTATATTAATTTGGTGAAGGTATATGCTTTACTCAAGAAAACTTTATTATACACTGTGAAAAATTTGGGCAAAATTATTTCAACACTTAGCCCAACGTTGTGCCATAGTCAACCCAACCATCTATGGGGCAATATGTGCATAATTTTTTCGTATTTTGCCCAACAGCTGGTCAAGATTTTCCCAAAAAGTGGGCTACCGTAGTCGGGCAGTTGAAGGGTCATATCTTTGCCCAAATTTCGGTAAAAATACGAAACAATTATGCACGTGTGAAGTCGGGTACTTACGTTTACAAATACCACTGGGCAAAATATTGCCCGATAGATGGTTGGGTTGACTTTGGCACAAGATTGGGCAAAGTGTTGAAATAATATTGCCCAAATTTTTCACAGTGTATTTCAGGCAACACGTTTGAAATTGACTGCTACTGGTTTATAACGGTTATACTGGTTTATAAAATGAGTCTTGGTGCACACTTTCTGAAGAATAATGCTGTGTGTTCTCAGGCAAGACCTATTCTAAAAAAATAACAAAACAAAATTCTATCAAAATAAAACACAAGTTTGCTGATGAGAAACGCAAAGGTAAAAAGTAGACCTGCATATAAAAAAAGAGCATCCAATATTAGTGATAACACAAATCACAGGATAACAACCCCAGATTGGACAAAATGTATTGCAAAAACAGTTAGTGCCATAATTTGTTCCCGTCCCTCGTATTTCCACTGGCTTTTCACTATTTCATTCACGCTTTACTTGGTAGAAGAGATGTCAAACACCGTATTAAAGATTGATCAATCAACGTGACAGCTTGTTAAGGTGGCTTCCACAAGGTACGTCACGTTTTGCACGGGAGTCGCGTATCCGCCTTGGTTTTCTTTTCCTCAAAATGGTGAATATGATGAGGCCAAAAAGTCATCAACCGGGATTGTCCACTGACTCTCTGCCTCTCTCTCTCTTTATCTCTCTCTCTCGCTCTCTCTCTTTCTCTCCCTCTGTCTCCTTCTTTCCCCCTCTCTGTCTGTTTTTTTTTGTCTCTCTCCCTCTCTGTACCTCTGTCCCTTCCACTTAATGTATTAATCTGTCTCTCTTTCTCTGTCACTATCTGTCTCTCTTTGTATGTACAAGTTCAAGATATGTCCAATTGCTTTGTTTCTCTCCAGGCTGATTTTTATATCAAGTCGTTGATGCTAGGAGTCCACTGGGCCGCGCCAGTTGGCGCCAGTTTGCGCCAATGCAATTTACTGTGGCGCCTAGTGTCGCCAATAAGGTGCCTAGTGGCGTGAAGTGGCTCAAACTGCCTCCCAACTGGCTCGTGGTGGCCCGTAACGGCACCAAATTTGAATGTGGCGGCAAGAAAATTTCAAAATGTTTGAAATTTTCGTCGCGCCACTTGCATCGAGCAATCAGCGCCAAGTGTCCGCCAAGTGGCACCAAATGGCGCGAACATATCGCCCTTTGGCGCAAACAATCCGCCTATTGGAATCCACTGGAATGTAATGGCGCGCGCTAAGTTGCGCCAATGAGATTTCGCGCCACATGGCGCCACTTGGCGCCAAGGGGCACCTTGTTTGCGCCACTACGCGAGCCAAACGGCACCCGATTGGTGACTACTTCGCGCCAAATGCCACCTGATTGCCCGCCATTCGGCGCCACTTGCCGCCTATAACAGCAGGGCGGCATCGCAGGACTTTCTCACAGTGATGGCGGCAGTTCTCCAAGCTCTAGGGATGAGGTTGTGCTGGGCATCCTCCTGGTCCAACATGCGGATGTCCCATGCCTGATAGTGCTTCCTGATGAGGTTGTGCAGCATGACGGCAGCTTCAATGAGCAGGCGGACTGTGTCTGGTTCCTGTCTCATCTGGCCAAGGAAGCACTGGAACCGCAGAGCCAGAATACCAAAGGCATTTTCAACCACACGCCTTGCCCTGGACAGCCTGTAGTTGAAGATCTTCTGCTGTTGGTCCATGCTACGCCGGCCATAAGGCTTCATCATGTACGTCCTCATGGCGAAGGCATAGTCTACCACGAAGAAGTACGGCATAGCGTGCTCTTCATCATCATGGGGAAGAGGAGCTGGATCTGGGATGCCTAAAGCGCCAGCTTCAATGCACTCCTTCAGTTCACTGTTGTTGTAGATCTGGGCATCAGACTGATGGCCAACCCCACCCACATCGATCCACAGGAACTGGTACTTTGAATCTACCAGAGCCATCTTCTGACAACCGAGAAGAACTGCTTGTAGTTGAAGTAAAGGCTGCCTGATTTGTTGGGCTTCTGGAGACGGATGTGCTTTCCATCATAGCCTCCCAGACAGTGAGGAAGATTCCACCTGGCTTCAAAATTACCTGCAACCTCAAGCCAGCCTTCATTGGTTGTGGTGAGTTAGATGACTTCTGCAGCATACTCATCCACTACCGCTCTGGCTACATCAGGGACAAACTTCTGGATGGTTTCCTTGCCCATTCGGAAGTTGAAAGACAGCTCGGCATAGGTGGCCCCATTGGCGAGATGGCGCAGGAAGACGGACAACTTGAGACCAAGGGAATGGCCTTCCTGATGTGGGTGTCCTTTTTCTGCAAGTGGGGTGTAAGCCTGACCAACAGGTCATCAAACATCTCTGGGGACACCCTGGTGTAGTTCTTGAACTTCCTCCTGTCATTCTCACTCAGCTCTTCCATCAAAGTGTGGTACTGTCCACGTTCGGCCCTCAACTGTGGGTGGAGCATGGGTCTAAACCACCAGTTGTGCTTCCTTTTCTTCTTAGGAGGCTCTTCTTCTTCAGGATTGGCCAGCATAAGTTGATAGGCAGTGGCCACCTCAGCATCTCTCATCATCTTTTGATGGAGCAGCATCATCACTCCAACATTATCAAAAGCCTCAGACATATCAAAATTGTAAATATTTAGTAGAGATGTTGTTCATACAGCAGCTGAGGAGGGTCTGAACCAGGTAGCCAATGGCCGGTATTTATTTAGTCGGCAAGTAGCGCCAAGCGGCGGCAAGTTCAAACCAATTTGGCGACCTTTGGCACAAACTAATCACCAAGTGGCGCAAAGTAGCCGTCTATTGGCGCGAATGGCGCCAACAGGGTGAATTTTGGAATCAAATGGCCGTGTAATGGCGCAAACTGGCGCGAACTGGCGCAACATTTTGGAGCAAGCCGGGTGGCATTTGGCGCACGCCATATGGCACCCAGTTTATTCCACTTGGCGACACATGCCGAGCGGACATTAATTCGGCGCCACAGCGAGCCACTACGCGCCAATCACATAATCTTTGGCGCGAACTGGCACCAACTGGCGCCGGCCCAGTGGACTCCTAGCATAACAGGCTTGGACATTTACAAGGACGGAGCGAGAATGCATAAGATAGGGGAGGGGGCATGCTCCGTTAAAAAGTTCTCTATCAATCAAACACTTCTCTGGTGCATTTGGGGTCTGTCATTTGAAAAGGGTACAAAAGGAAAAACATGGGGCACATTATGTGTACGAATTAGAACTTAAAAGAGGCTCCGGGCAAGCCCCGTTTAAGAGGTTAACCACTGTACGAGGAGCCCAACCCACAAACTCTTACACACACAAACGCACAGACACGCATCGTAAACGTCAGGCGGTCGAAGACTTCTGACAGACAATTAGACCAGACATTATCAAACTTGGTAATGATCTGGAACCTCGCATTAATCAAGGGGCAGAGATACCGATGGAAAAGATATGGATAAGTCAAATTGACTTTTTGCAGAGGGTAAAGGGATAGAGAGAGAGAGAGAGAGAGAGAGAGAAGGGGGAGTAACGGAATAAGACAGACAAACAGAAATGCTTATACGGACGAATAGAGATTCAATAAGAGGGAATGCAAGATAGAGAGAGAGAGAGAGAGGGAGAGAGAGGTGGGGTGGGGTGGTGGGCATGTGGGAAGTACAGACATATGGGAAAGAATGGAAGAGAGAGAAAGATAAATGTGGAGTCAATTAATTGAATAAAACATCCTAAAAAACGGAATAAAGGGTGAAGGTTTAATTTAAAAAAGGGGGAAAGAGAAACACGTGAGTATGAAATTACAGTGGCCAAACGAGGACTGGTCGGGCGGGCCTTAAAGGGCAAACGAGAATGCCATAATGACTCAATCAGGATGCTCATTGGTGGTGTAAACTAGCCTAATTGCTGAGCCGAACGAACCCTGAAAACAGAACTCATTAGACCTGACATTTAAACTTCCCATGTTCTAATTTCAAAGAATGCATTTACTTCTCCGTGAAAACGTATTAACCTTTGCCAATCTACTACCCTGGGATAACTTGGGGGTTGAGGCATCCTTATACATGAATATTATTGTGCTTCCTTACAAAAGCTTCCGATTTAGGCTGAACAACTCTCAAAGAGTCCTTCATAAAGGCCCGGTCCCACTGCACTTACGGATGCAAAGAGGATGTAAAACGTAAAAAAATCTTGCCATCCGTTGGAAAACGCTATGCATCCGTTCCGTACTCTTTGCATACGTGTTTTATACGCTCTATCCATCGAGCATCCGTCCACTGTGATTTCATCCGCGCAAAAAGTTTTGAGCTGCACAAAACTTTTAGAACGGATGAACTTCCGCCGTGTACGATGTAAATCCGCGACAAATACGAGCAACAAACGTTCTATGTCCGTTATCATCCGTTAAACGTCCGCTGTATCCTCTCTGCATCCTCTGGGCATCCTCGCAACTCACATCCGCTGCAGCTGAAAACGGAAAGAGGGAGGAAAGATAAGGTACATGGAACGTCTATACATCGTTAGTAGCACGGAAATAGAAAGGATGTAAGCGTTTTCATCTCGTATATAAAATATTCAAAGCTGTCATCCACTTCCATCCGCTTTTATCCGCTAGGCTTCCGATGAACATCCGTTTAACATCCCCGCTACATACAACCCACATCCGTTATTTTCCGTACTGTTTTCGCAAATTTTCGCAAATTTTGTCCATTTCTGGAGCGGATGAAAACGGATGGAGCCACCCGCGAAATTTTGCTCGTCCGCTGTGTCCTTTATGCAAACGTTTTGTGGCCGTCGGCCAGTGGGACCGGGCCATAACATTGCTAAGGAAGGTCCCACAACCCTCCGATATCCTGCAAAGTACTACGAAATACTACAAAAATACAACAAAAATACTACAAAACCTCTGCAAAATGATCATTATTTTACGAGGAGCTTTGAAAAGGAGAAGGGGGTCCTTGCATAAGTTTGCCTGCCTACATTATTCGCTAAAAAGACCCCTCCCCCTCTCTGTCTCTGTGTCTCTGTGTATGTGTCTCTTTCTCTGTCTCTCTTTCTCTCCCCTCTCTCTCTCTCTCTCTTTATCTCTCTCTCTCTCTCTCTCTCTCTCTCTCTCTCGCAACATGCACCTTGTGCAGTATCTAGCACCATCGATACCATATACATGATACATCAATGTGATTCGGATGACACTAATCGCTTGCTCGTGGACACAATAATTGCTAAGAAACTCACTGCTGATGTTGACGACGAGAGTCATTAAAGTTCAATTTAATTCCTATTTTTCTTCGCTTCTACATTCTACGATATAAATACATTGAAAGGGCCATATACGATTCGCAATCTAACATTAACTGAAATAGGATATCATTCGAATGTATACAATGGTCGTTGACCTATCTACGTGCATTAGATTAGATATACATGAGTCCACCAATAAAGATGTTTTTGCCAATAAGTGTCGCATTTCAGCAAAAATATACTGATTTCTTTTTTTTTTATAAAAGAAGCTACATGTATTTACTGAATTTTCGAAGAACATCACTGGAAGATTTATCTGTCTACTATGTAATATGTAGTATTGTAGTGTGTGGTCAATGTTATGGGTTGATAAGACCTTATAGACGATGAACATAAAGAAAGGGGAGAGATAGAGAGAGAGAGGGGGGAAATAAAGAGAGAGAAAGAGAGAGAGGGAGAAATATAACGTATAGATAGATAGAAAGGGAGAAAGAAAGACACAGAGAGAGAGAGAGAGAGTAACGATTCAAACTGTATCTTTTTTTCGTATGAGGTTATAATATAACCAGAAAGTCAATTAAAAAGCAACCAAAGTTAAAATCTAATTTCATCCCAAGATAAGAGAGAAAAAACTGTTGAATTATCAAGGGACTAGATAACCAAGTATAAAGTGGTGGAATGAATGGAATGAATACTTGGCTGGGTATGTTGATTAGGTCTGGGGAGAAGAAACAAGACAGTGAGTACAGAAGTGAAAGCAAGAGGAAGAAAGAGAATCGGGGGCAGGATGGCGTCCGCGAACTACAAAGTCAGAAGGGAAAAAAAAGTCCGAGATAATGAATCCATGCAGCCCCTATCATGATACTGAAGTCTAGGGCCGGAGATGATGACTGTATTGAGAAACATTAGCCAGGCGTGGAATCCGATCTCACAGCCCAATGAAAACAGAAGATTATTCCCTCAACGAACCGTCGCAGACAGCAAGTATAGGACCACTCTGTCCCAGCCTCCAATTTCAGCACAAATCTTAAATTGGCATAACCATGGATTGGCGCCAAATTGAGGGTGGTATAGAAGGATTGGTGGACAGCCGTAAATGAATCTAGACGGATCGTTCACGGGTCAATATGCAATTAAAACAAAGAGAAATCTGTGTATGTTGACTTTGAAAGAAAATCGAAGTGCCGTTATCACTGTTTTCATAAATGTCATATCAAGTATGTATTTCAGATGAATCATTATTCAAAGCCACATATTCATTGTTTGTCTTACCATAATTAATTGTCAGAATAAAACTGTTGATATATTCTCATCCCAGCACAGGAAGCACATTTATTATTCCTAGTAGTCATGGTATTTACAGGCATGGTATTGTCATCGAAAATGTACTGTTATACTTAAATGACCACTCAAAATATATAACATTACAAAGTGAAAAATATATGCTGGTTAAGACTCGTGTTGTAAGACCTGTACGTAGGTTTTCATTCAAAGTTAATTAGGTTTTATTATTCGATAGATTGAATATCTCATGTGTAATTTCAAAAAAATATGAAAAGCTGATTAATCATCAACAACATTTGATTATTGTTAATGACCATTTTGTCGAACGTTGCTCTATTGATCATGTAATTGTGCATAATAACGATTTCCGCAGCGGTATACCGGAATATTTATGTTTCTTTTATTTGCGGTACTGTACAATTACTTTGTT